CAATCTCTCTCTCACTCTTTCCCTATCAATCTCTCTTTCACTCTTTCCCTATCAATCTCCCTCTTTCTCTCTCTCTCTCACACACACTTTCAGAGTGAAGCAGGCAGGTGTGTGAGCAGCATCACACTCAGGTTGAACTAAGGTCTCAGGGATGTAAACACACAGTGATCGTGGCTGCAGACAGAATAGAGATGAGCTGTTTGACGACAGGTGAACACAGGTTGCACTGTTTCTGTAGAATCCACTAACAGGCGGTAACTTGTGTCGGTGTGACCACGTATCTTCTACACGTTGATGCTAACGTACCGCGAGATCTCCACCAAAACCGGGCGGTGGTTTACGTGCAGCTCGGCTAGCTAACTAGCTAGCTAGCTAACACAGTCAGTCCACGCTGTTGCAGCATCGTGCTAAAGCACAATAAATAAAAAAAAGCTAATGGTTATAAATTGAACATATTACAAACGCTGGCCGAGCCGGAGGGACCTGTGGGGAAAACAAACCGCCACATTTGCTGGTATTAGCATAGTTAGCTTAGCGCTTAGCAAGGCCTCGGCTAGCGGCGCGCCCGGTACGAAGCTAGCCCACAGTTAGCTGTTATTCTGAGGGACAAAATGGTCGCGCTGCTTCTCTCTCCGACAAACTGCGGTGATCTTCACTTACAGCAAGTTCCTGTTTCCTCTTCACCAACTCGGCGAGCTCCCGGCGGGTGTCCGGGATCTGCGGCGGCGTCGCTTTTGCGTGCATCGCCATGATGGATCGAGCTAATCTGGAGACAAACCAGCGGCGGGCGGGCGGTCTGCAGAAATGCGGCCGCTGGAGTGCAGCTGTTTCACCGACAGATGTCCCCGAAGGACCGCTGCAGGAGCCCGGCAGGTCGGAGCTGCGCTGCCACGTTTAACTGACAGAAATCTGCTAAATCCGAGTTTAGCAAAAAATGAATATTTATTTATATTTGTCCACACTTGTTTGCACGGCGTCACGTTATGCGTTAAAAAAAACGTCACTTACACGTAGCTGCACAATGTTGACCTGCATCGTGTAAGTGGTTTACAATTTGTAAAATAAAGCACCGCCGAATGATAAATTAAAAGTTGATGATTACTATGTTCTGATTGATGTACTGATAAATATCACGTGGCTGCTCTGACACATGGTTCAACTTTAAAAATGTGTTGATTCCGAGGCAGGGTCTGCTGCATTTAGTTTCTTTATGATTTCTGGACGTGTATACGCGGCGGACATAAAGATATAATGATAAAATCAGAAAGCACAAGTCGCCCTGAATCTAAATGTGGTTTATCGTCTCTCTGTGTTCAGATTTCATTGTTTTGTGATTGTTTTGTTTTTTTTTTAGTCTTGGACGTTAATTTCCGGTCTGGCAACCCTGCACGGAAACGCGTTTTGTTTCTACGTCGCCATGGCAACGCCACCTGGCAGCTTTATCAATGGCGTCAGATTTACAAACTAATTTGAACCTGTGATGGACAACGTGGACCGAGGATTCGATAAAAGTGAGGCTGCATGAAAATACAGATTTTATTCTGAGCTTAAAAAAAACACAACATAAAATTTGATCAACAACCTCCAGCTTCTTCCTCCATGGCAACAAGATACCACAGAGCGGCGATAACAAATCAAGAGAAGAAGGGGTTTTCTTCTCAGGCGAAGAGATTCGCTTCACAGCTATGTCCGGTAAGACGTTTAACTCTTCTCACATGAGACGTTAACAAGAAATCAAAATGCTGAATGATGTGTTTGTGTTTCAGAATGAAAACCCAGGACCGGCCAGCTATGGCTGTGTTTCCACTGCTGAAGTTAAAAGTCCGTCCTTCTCCAAGAAAGGCACCACAGGCTTTGTGGCGTCCAAGGTCAGGAACTCTGCTGCTCATTTGGTTTTATTGGCCCAAGGTCATAAAAACACCGAGATCAAGTTTAAATACCTGCAACTCGACAAATTGACATAAAACAGTGTTTAATTGTCTTAAAAGTTCTTATTTACATCTGTGTTTTTCAGACTGTGATGTACCCACATGTCTTTTATTAAAAGGGCCTATTATGCTAAACATATTTGTTCACTTTTTCTGTAAACCTAAATTCTGCGATAAACAGAATTTTGAATTAATGTACGTTTTGTCGTTCAAAAGCTCATCAAAGTTACTGATCCCCAAAAAAATTAATTAAACATGATTAATTGTGTTTTTCACAAAAAGATATCTGAAGTGAAGACGAAGAAAAATCAATCAGTGAAAATTCAAATCAGATAACAGTAGTGAAATGTTTTGATTGTTTGACTTTGTTTATTATTTAATCGAACCAGTGAAATGTTTCGGTTTTGAATTATTTTAAAACAAAATATGAAATTGTTTGATTCTTCAGATCTTTGGTTTAATTATTATGAAATAAAGGTTTTTGAAATGAACCCAATTATCATATCACCTTTTCACCACTAGGGCACCAGGGGTTACAATAACCCACAGAGAACGATCCCGGGACCAAACGTGTACAACACACAGAGCTCCTTCATAAACAAGTATGATTTTAACTCTGGAGTCTCCAGGGTGTTCAGACTGCCTGTGGCTGTGCAGCTGGATGGTCCCAAGCATAACACCCCAGCTCCAAATCAATATGACGTACGTATGTGACTTATTTATGTTGCTTTTAGTGTCTAGTGATGTAGTGATGTGCAGCTTTTTGTTCCTTCTTTCTGCTCAGGTCAGCTGTAGGAGCAGAGACAGATTCTCCTCGGTGGTCGGCACATCAGCTTTCCTCTCAAAAACCGGACGTGACTCTTTCTGTCCAAATAAAAACCTGCCATCGCCATGTAATCACTTCACTTTAATCACATTTAATCTGATTTTATAACACTTTTTTAAAATAACTTTGGGCTCTAATATTGCCGTACACATTTGTCATAGGCCACTATGAGGTGAACAACCACAGGATCCAGCACAGCTCCACAGTAGTCTTGTCGCCCTTCAAATCTAAAACTCAGAGAATCCCTGCTCTCGTGAACAACCATGTTCCGGGCCCCGGGGCCTACAGTCCCCATAAGGCCCCCACACCAGCAAAGAAGACCCTCCTACCGTGAGTGACCTTCCAATATTTACGACTTTGGATCTGTTATTAAAGGTTATTTACTTTCTATAGTCTAAAAATGTAAACTCTGTGTTTACTGTGTTTAAAGGAGGGGTTGTTATTTGGCAATATCAGAGCCGGCTCTGATTGTTCCTAAGGATCCGCCCCTGCCGGGCCCCGGGCAGTATGATATACAGAACTGTGACGCCAAGTCCAAGCATCCAATGCTCTCTGCTGCTTTTGCATCCAGAACTGAAAGATTACCCAGATACCTTTGCACCGAAATGAAGCCAGGTCCAGGTAACGTCTCCTAAAACAAATCATCAAATGCTTCTTTTAAAATCAGGCATTTAACAGTTGTTATTTTTCTTCCTGTGAATAACCACAAATACAGATGATGTAATGCTGGGATAGAGAAAATCCTTTGGTTTCATAAAAGACAACAAAACCCTTCTTTTACTATTCATGCAAAATAAAAGGTTTCTTTTAATATACAGTTGCAGAACAGGCTCTGATGCTGGTGTCTGACCTGGAGCAGCCACATGCTAGTTAGCTGGTTGCAGTCACATGCTAATTCAAACAGCTTTACATAAATAATGTGGGATTAGACTAGATTTGCAATAAATCTGCAATCCAACCAGAGGGGATGGAAATGACTGTGGGGAAATATTGGAAATTGCTGACATGAGTGTATGTAGATGAGGCGTCGTAAAGGAAAAGTAGCAGAACATGAAAGTTTAATGACGATATTCATCATAAAGTGTCTCGAACGTCGAATTTCATCGGCCCCACTTCACAATTTATCTCCATCAATAGTCCCGCTAACGCTAAGTCAGTATGTTGTTATGGTTATAGAAGAAACATAAACATATAGACATAGGTTGGAAACATGTCATGAACTAGATTGTTTATGCTGAAAGTTTGAAAATGTGAATGAGGTCTGACCATATACAGTAAATAAAGATGGCCGACTTGGTGGCTCCCCAAAGTGAAGCCAAAACGTCCTGATCGCCCCCTGGTGGCTGTCTGCAGTATGGGTCATGAACCCAGCCTCCACCATGTTAGCAGATGGACGGGCTTTTGGCTTGTCTCATGTCGTCATCTTTATTTACAGTGTATCGACCTGACTCGAGTAAAGCTGAGTTACTTTGAGTAAAAGTTTTGTTTCACTATCATCCATGTAATGTATTTGTTATGATGGTTGTCTTCTAAGGTTACATTTGCCGTCAATCTCCCCACAAACCACATCAATTTCACAGATTAATTGACATCTGTTTCTAATCTATTTTGTGACCGGATATTATCCGAGCCGAACCCTTAATTCTACCTGTTAACGACCCGTCATTAATCTTAAACAAAAGAACTATTCACATCAGTGAGTGACATTGAGAGGCAGAAAATCAGAAGCAGCACCAACACATTTTCTTGGCCTGGAGGTGAATAGGTAAATTCTATCCTCACAATAAACTGTGACACATTTCAAAAAGGGAAAGCCCCAGACTTCTGGGACTTCCGCGAGAGACCAAGCTTAGTCTCCGCTTATCTTTGTATAAATCGAGAGAAGAGTAACGCCTCTGCAACTGATATCTGTCCTATTATATAAACTTGTTTACGAGTTTCAGGCAAAATTAGAAAAGTGTATGATTCTGTTTTGGTGGCTGAAGCTCAGGTTTTCCATTCGTCTCTGGCAGTAGTCTCTGTAGTTGGAAGAATAAAAGCCTCCTTAAGTATAGCTTTGACGAATATCCTGTATAATTGTACACAGTAGATCATCCTTGTGTATAATCTAACAGTCCTTGGACTTTCTCTTTCCAGGTTTCTATGATCCACAGATTCTGTCAAAGCACTCCTTCTTTTACAATGATTCCAGAGTCTGGATCCCTGTATGAAGCTTTCAAGGGAACATCAGATCTTCACGCTCACAGTAACGGATTATCTTTATCTTATCGTGTTGTTTAAATGTACATGAGTTTAAATCAGTGTTTGCTGAAAAAAGAAGGACGGCAATTAAACATTTGAATCAGTGAGTCTCTGTTTAGTGTTTATCTGAGTAGTGATATATAAGACTGCGGTGTCGGTAGGAGGAGTCATATTCGGTATTTATCTAAAGTGGTGACGTAAGAGAAAAACCCTTAGAAAAGCCTTATATTTGATCCTCACCCCAGTTTCCATGCAGCAGTGAGTGTCGCTGCAGTCGACCGGCAGCTGCTGGTCCAGTCACTGGTGCGCCACGGTAACAGCTGAGAGCTTGAGATGACAACACTGTGCCAACTGCTGGAGGGCAGGCAGAGGAGTGGAGTGTGACTGTCTATGTGAGCAATGTGACTGACCGGGCATGAGGCAGAGCTGCTGCTCAACCCCAAAGACAAATGGACACAACAGCCACTCCCTTGTTCCCATGTTAAATTGTCGGGTCAGTGGCTGATGCAGTTTTCTGTCTTCACGTTTGTGCAGTGGTTCATTATTCCTGTTTGCTGTCATATTATTGATTAATATAATAAAGTAAATAAGCTGCTGTCTGCATATCAACTGAAAAGGTCATGATATGTCACCGTTAGTTGTTGCAGGTTAAAAGAGTTTTGGAGATGACTCCTGAAACAACATGTCATGCAGTGTTTTTTTTGTATTTTAATCTCATTGATAACATTCATAACTACATTTCTGTAAAAATGAAAAAGTAAAATGGGCCAGAGAGGACCGCTACTTCCTGCTGGTTGCCTGGCAAATGCTGGCAAGTCAGAGGGTTTAAGAGGGTCTGGTTCTCCTCATCTCTGACTAACAGCCTGCTCGCTGTAGCTTCATATCGTCCACACAGATGTGACAGTTTTATCTTCTCATTTAACTGAGGCAGAAAGCAAATAAACAAATTTCACACAGTGTTGAACTTCAGCTCGGAGAGAAATGTTTAACTGTGCAAAGCTGATACAAACACTGACTGACACGACATTTGCAGCTGCTAACATGGAAATTAATTTCAAGCCAACAAGTCTGCTCTGCGGAAACAACGCCGAGTTGTTATTTATGCCTCGTGCTTATCTCCGACTGCAAAGGATGCGATCAACAGTGTCATCTGCTCACAAGAAAATCAGGTGGAGATTTTTCCTCTGCAGCTCGGCTCTCAACAACTGCAGACGTGCCTGACTCCTCCACAGTAGCAGCTGTAGTTATATTCAGACTCTGACTTCAGCAGCGTTCTCTTCAAATATGTGTGAGCTCGCCCTGTAAAACCAAACCATTGTGCACAAGTGGGGGTTTACACAATGACAGGACATTTTATAACTCCTCTGTTTGCAGACAGAAATGTGCTCTCTCCCCTCTGGTCAAACGCACAGGGAGGATCCAGACAAATGTTTTTGAACTGCAGGCTTTTTGGTTTTGCTGGTGCTTTAGTAGTCCTGTGTCGAAGGGGGCAATTAACTACATGCCTCTGTGGGTTTCTGGGAGGCTCCCTGCACCGCCGCATGTCTCGCTCAGGTGCAGGCGAGTATGGGCACGCACGCCCTCGAAGGATCTGGCTCAGAGAGCTCTTTGTTTCAGATCACAGACAGATGGAATCAGTCGCCTGTTGATCTTGGCCAATTAAAAATTCCCTCCTTATCCACGATTTGGCTGAAATGACGCTGCCTGCATCAGAGCGACGAGCTAATCGTCAACGTGAGCTTATGCCTGTTGCTTGGCAATACATCAGTGGATTACTGACAGAATTTGTTCTGCTGCAGTTTCAAGTCGTTCAAAGACGCGTGGTGTATTTTTGGAATCCTCGAGAGTCAGAACACGAGGGTATATCGAAAAAACACGGAGGGACATTTAGGGATTCTAATAATCTGTGTGTCTGTCATATTTTCTCTCTTTAGCCTCGGTGACTCTGCAGCTTTATGGAGCCGGAAGGGAACTGAGCTTCACTAAGTTGAAGTCTGTTTATTATTTCATCTGCTTCTGAAAACCATCACCAGTGCAACAAAGAGTCTGTTCACTGCTCTGTGATAAATTAGATCATTAATTCTGATTTCAAAGTGATAACCTTAGAACACATGATCCGGAGCAGGAGAATTTACAAGAAAGAACAAACACAGGTTCACAGTGAGAAATCCAGGGATGGATAGAAGTGGACAGCTGTAAAGTGGAAACAGTCTTTTAGTCTGGGTTGTTTAGAGAAAGAGAGACAGAGGTTGTTGGTGCAGATGAACACGATCCATTAGCCCTGATGGAGCTGCTTCTCTTTTCTTTAGTGTGTGTTACAGAACGACCAGTTGATTGATTGGCAGCATCTTAGCAGCGTCTATCTTTAGCCTCCACATATGCAGGACTGAAATATATAGAAATAAGGAAATGTAGAAATACAGGAATAAATACACAAATTCAAAAATAGATGAATGTGGAAATATCTGAATAAACAAGCGTTTAAATACATAATTCACCATTTTTCTCACCAAATTGCATTTATTTTTTAATTAATTTACTCATCCTTGTATTTATTTGTATAGATATTATTATCTATATTCATAATTTATATTTTTTTAGTTCTGGCAGTTTCAGTCCTCGATATCCACACACCGTGTTTAAAGGAATGAATGAATTGTCGTCTGCTCTAGTTTTTAAAGATGATTTTTTAAGAGGACTGAAAATCAACATGTTTCAACAGTTTGTTTTTAACGTTGGGCTGAAATGTGAGAAATGAAAACGTTGGATTTATGACAGTAAATAATCTGCACGTCTCTACAACATCAGCTGCAGCCCTCAGTGTCTTCACCAGGCTAAGTGGGTCATGCATGTTTTATCTCTCTGCTAACACTCGCATACATTTGGCCTTTAAGCATGTTTTAAAGAAGAGCCTCATATAGGGCATTAGAGAATTAATTCATTTTCCTTTATGTCCTTAAGATTCATGAAAAACAGGATGATGATGATCTCATCTATATTTAATCTGAATTTTTAATGTAAATGACCAAAAAGACAGAAAAAAACATGGTGGGCGTGCTTCTGGTCAGACTATTTATAAAAGGCCTCTTTTAAAAAATGAATGACACTCCCACTCTATCTACTAGTGTGAGAAACAAGTATTCACAGAATGTGAAACAGTGTTTTGATAAAATAATTATATATATAAAAAAAGAAATAGAGTTTAATAATGCCATGGTGTCATATGTGGATTTCTGGGTAGGGGTTTGTTTCTTTGCCTTTTTAAAAAAAAATCCCCCTCCCTCACGTTTTACCAGATCAGACGTTATCAGATTGGACAGTGAATGTCCTCGTGGACCTGCTCTGTCTCCTGCAGTGGCAGGAAGGTCGCATCAATTGTTAATCAGTGTGTCATCACCGATTCACAAGGGCAGATCATGTCCTCTCACTTTTTATATAGAACAAATGTGGTTGAGTGGTAAAAACATGCTATTATTACTATATAATAATTATAGGATCACTTTTTCATTCTTTGGTTGGCTCCTTTTGTCTTTTTTTTTGTTTATCTTTTAATGGTATTCCAGTAATATTCCAGTAGATTTCATTTCCTGTCATGATCAAGACAGATAAATACTTTATTGATCCCGAGGTAAGTTGAGTCATCCGGTATCAAACAAAACAGACAAACCTACGAGCATAAGAATAATAAAAGGTCAAAACGAGTCAGGAATAAATGCAGGAATATTAATTTATAAAGTAAATAAAGATCTCATGTCAGTACACTGTGTATCTTTGAAGTGTAGTGGAGCTGAAGTATAAAGTGGTACATTATGCAGATACTCAAGTTCATGTACCTCAGATGTGTACTTGCCTACTTGAGTAACTGTACTTCGATACTTTCCACCACATAGACGTTTTATGCATTAAGAAGTATTATTACCTTTGTAACTGTGTATAAACTGCAGTACTGACACAGACAGTATGATGAATACTCTGTTGTGACAGATTCACTTCTGCAGCTGCTGGAAATCATCTGATGGATCAAACCATTCCCAGGGTTCAGGGTTGAAGAGGAAACGGACGCATCTGTTGTGTTACTGTGAGTAAAACTAATGAGACACTGTGAAGACATTTTTTATTTAGTGTTCGACGTGTGAAAAACGTCTTCAATCAATTCCACCCCGGTGTTTTCTGGGTAAATGAGTTTCTTCCCCTCCACACAGTTGGTACAGTCCGGTTGTCTGAGCTCAGCAGCGTCAAGTCAAAGACTACAACCGGAAATAAAGCAAGCTCGCCTTCAGAATAAAATTCAGTTATTAAAAACAAATAGGGCGATCAGGACCCATGGCTAGAAATGACTTCAAGTTGAATTCATATTCATTCATTCATCATATTTATGTCTGATATTATATTTCTTATATTCGAAATCATACCACTACAACTACCACCACTAACAATAATAATAATAATCATTGTATTGAAATAGATAATTTAACAATGCTCAAAGACACATTACATACAGAGAAAGAAGAAATTCGTGTGACAGCTTAATCCAAGATTACAGTGAGAAGACACCACAAAGAATTAAGTTCAAAATACAAGTGAAGATGAGAGTGTATAGTAAATTAAATATAATAAAGTGTATACAAAGTAATGCAGAACCAGTGCCTATTAGTAGATATCAATTAAAATAATAAGAAGATACTAACTACAGCGACAATGAGTAGAGATGAAATGATGAAGGAGATGTAATGTGGGATATAGAAATTGAAAAATTGCGATTTATATTGAAATATATTGACCCACATTGGACCCACTCTTTTTTTCCCCACTACTTTGTTTTATTTCTAAAGCCTCTGACCGGAAGCGTGTGTGTCCACTCTCTGCAGCTTGATCTCCGGGGCTGGAATCTGAAGCTTTTTATTCTCACACTGTAGATTTTCCACTGAAGACCTGTGGACCCGCTGAACTGAACCTCCTCTCTATCATTATTAATCCCAGACACCACTTCTCTTTAATTGATCCTCTCTCACATTCCTCCTCTCTGTCTCGGATCCTGGTGTTTTATTCCTCTTTTTATTCCCACATAATTCCTCCTGGGTCACTTCTTTTTTTTTTTTTTATTCCGGCTGGATTTACCCAGGGCGTGTTTGGGGCTGATCTGTGCCGGGGAGTTTCATCTCTCTCTCACTCTGAGGAATGTGACAGCGACCAGAATGGACACGATGGATTATAAGGAGCTGGGAAATAAACTCGAGGAGAAGCTGACACTAACAGACAAATGTGAGTATTGATCCTTAGAAATAAAAAAGGAGACGTATGATGAGGTGTTTATATCCAGAGCAGCTGCTGGGAGGTCAAATGTGTGAAAACAGGATGTTTGTGGGTCCAGGCTGATTCCTCCACAGCAGCAGCGGCAGCAGCAGCAGACTGTAGCCGCCTATGAGCGTCTCTAACAGGCGCCTCCTGTCCGCACCACATCCTGGAGCTGTGGTCTCCATTACCCAACACGTCAGGGAGAAAAATGGCCCACATATGCACAACCAGGGCAGAGCTGGTGGTGCAGCTGGCTCTCACTCCTGCTGCAACACATCCCTGCAGAGTGGGCTCCTTGGTGTGTGTGTATAGGGGATTCTGCTGCTTGCTCAAGAGCACCAAGGCAGCTGCATGCAGATGTTTCCAGCTGATGCCTCCTCTCACATAGCCCGGCCTCTCTGCAGCTGATCCAGTGGATGCAGAGTATAGGGCTGGACGATATGTTAAAAAAAAATGACTTGAAATCATGAGTCGATGTTGATAATTAT